TAACGGTAAAAGTATCTTTGGGATAATACATTCATAACCAAGATTCGATTATTCACATCAGATCTTCTGCAGATAACCTACAGCTGAGACTCATTATTTTCTTCCAGCCGTTACAACAACTAGGTCAGTCTGTTTGCACGGAAATTGCACGCTGGGCTCAGAATTCCTAGCCCTCCGTTTGCCCAGCGATCACATGGAGCTGTGTAAATAACTCTAGGTCGTCTTTTCCGTTCCAGATGGATACGATATTCTGCCAGTCTCCCGATGCGTTGTCAGAGAAACCTTTTGAAAAATGAAGTAGTGGGAGCCTGTGCAGCCCAATAACATTCGTTCTTTTGTGGAAATGTATACGTGTGTGTACACACACACAAACTCATAGGGTTGCCAGGTCCCTACCTGTTGCCGGCGGGGGCGCCAGCCTGCTGTCCTGGATATCCTGGCGTGTACATCATCGTGCCTACGGGTGACATCATCGTGCAGGGCACGTTGCGGGAGAACACTCTAGCATTTGAGGAGAAACTCTATGGCTACCATAAAGTTTTTTCTCATATGCTAGAGCGCCCCCCCACCCAGCAACATGCCCTGTGCGATGACGTCACCTCCAGGTGACGTCATCGCGCCAGGCACATCGGCATGAATGGGGTGTTCGGGGGCGGGGCTCCCCCACTAGCCAGCTGAGCAGCAGTGGATTGGGCCCCCCGAAAGTGGGTAAACCCCTGCCCCCATCAGGGAGATGGCAACCCTACATACACACCCAGACAAGTATATGTACGTATCTATAAACAGTGCCAGTAAGGTGTAGCAGTTAGAGTGTCAGGTTATGATCTGGGAGACCCAGGTTCGAATCCCCGCACTGTTGTGGGAGCTTGCTGGGTGACCTTGGGCCACTCATGCACTCTCGGCCTAACTCACCTCGCAAGATTGTTGTAAGGTTAAAATGGAGGAGAGTAGAAGGACGTGAGCCACTTTGGTTTCACATTGGGGAGAAATGACACAAATAAAATTTGTGGTCTACAGATCGTACTCAAAATATATAAAGCGAAACAACCTACTGGACGAAATTGTTGTCAAGTTCCTCCGAAGACAGATAAGGGATGAAATCAGGAAAGCAGCATCGGCAAATCCCCTGAAGCTGGGAACAACCGAAATCAGGGTCCTAAAGGACACTCCGTTTGAAGTATGCCAGAAAAGGAAACCTTATAAAGAATTGATTTCACTCCTACAAATCAACCAAATTCAATATTCCTGGTGTTTTCCTGAAGGGGCCGTGTTTAAATTTAGAGACAAAAGGGAGAAAATAGACTCGGCTATGAAGGCAGAAGAATGGGTGAAACGGCATTTCGGATCGGCGGAAGAGGAGCAGCAGCAACATGGAGGTGAAGCAGAAATAGCAGAGAAGGACTTGGAGGAAGACCTAGGTGCAGCGGGTGGTGCACTGACCAAAGAAACCTACGATTTAAGACTTAGAAGACCAAAGTAACTCTAAGACTTTAAGAATACTCGCAAGCAGGGATGATGAATGCTAACACGAACTGACTAACTCTCTAACTCTAGCGGAATGTTTTGTTTTTTTTAAATAACAACTGGATTTTGTTGTTGTTGTTGTTCAGTCGCACAGTCGAGTCCGACTCTTTGCGACCCCATGGACCAGCTCCCTCCAGGCCTTCCGGTCTTCCGCCATCCTCTGAAGTTTGCTCAACTTCATGTTCGTTGCATCGATGACACTGTCTAACCATCTCATCCTTTGCCGTCCCCGTCTTCTTTGACCTTCAATCTTTCCCAGCATCAGGGTCTTCTCCAGGGAGTGCTCCCTTCTCATTTGGTGGCCAAAGTATTTGAGCTTCAGTTTCATTATCTGGCCTTCCAGGGAACAGTCAGGGTTGATTTCTTTGAGGATTGACTGATTTGATCTCCTTGCAGTCCAAGGGACTCTCAAGAGTCTCCTCCAGCACCATAGTTCAAAAGAATCTATTCTTCGGCGCTCGGCCTTCCTTATAGTCCAACTCTCGCAGCCATACATGACTACTGGGAATACCATTGCTTTGACCATGCGGACTTTTGTTGGCAGGGTGATGTCTCTACTTTTTATCATGCTGTTTAGGTTCGCCATCGCTTTCCTCCCAAGGAGCAGGCGTCTTTTAATTTCATGACTGCTGTCACAGTCTGCGGTGATCTGGGATCCCAGGAACGTGAAGTCTGTCACTACTTCCAACGACTTCTCCTTCTATTTGCCAAGGAGTCATGGAGCCGGATGCCATGATCTTAGTTTTTTTTATGTTGAGCTTCAAGCCCACTTTTGCGCTCTCCTCTTTTACCCTGAGCAAGAGGCTCTTGAGGTCCTCTTCACTTTCTGCCATCAGAGTGGTATCGTCTGCATATCTGAGGTTGTTGATCTTTTCCCCCGCAATCTTAATTCCTGCTTGTGATTCATCTAGGCCAGCATTTCGCATGATGTACTCTGCATATATATTAAATAAGCAAGGCGACAATATACATCCTTGTCGTACTCCTTTTCCTATGCGAAACCAATCAGTTGTTCCATATCCGGTTCTAACTGTCGCTTCTTGGCCCTTATACAGGTTTCTCAAGAGACATGTGAGGTGGTCTGGTACTCCCATCTCTTTAAGGACCTGCCATAGTTTGTTGTGATCCACACAGTCAAAGGCTTTAGCATAGTCAATGAAGCAGAAGTAGATCTTTTTCTGGTACTCTCTTGCTTTCTCCATAATCCAGCGAGTACTAACAGCTAATGATCTCCCTTCTTGGGTTTTTAGTTATAATGTGGGTCTAATTTACTTTTCTTTAATCCCAGGGTGCTTTTCCCTCCCCTTTTCTTTTTCCTTTAGTTTGTAGGGTGTAACAAAAAAAAAAATCAATAAAGCTACCCTGTCTTCAGGGGATTAAAAATAAATAAATAAAATTTGCTTAAAAGTTCATAGTTCTTTTAAAATCTGTTTTGGTCGTAACCTAAAAGATAGCTGGATAGCTTATAGGGTGTCCCCCCCCATGATCTATATTTTTAAAGATACATTTAAAAAAGACCCACAGAAGCAGATGAATAAATAGAAATGAAGAATGTCCCGGTGAAAATAATGCAGAAGAATAATAATGCAGAAAACAGTGCAGAAGCGTCATAGCAATACTTTTGCTCGTTGGGGGTGAGCGTGTGCTGTTGAGCTCTCTGGACCACTGTACGCAGCCAGTGGACTCTGTTTAGCGTAATCGATGGCAAGTGGTCCAGGTCTGCACGCCACTGGTGACGCAACACTGACACACTGTTTCTCCCTCTCCCGACACAGACGCGGAAGAGGAGACTGGAATTCTGTTGCTGGCAAGGCTGGCGGATTGTTTGGGGTGTCATTGTGGGGGAGGGATGTTCAAGGCATCTCTTGGCATGATGAGTGGCCAGATAGAATGAGTATCCGCTGCTTGGCTTTTTGGCAGCCTGCGTACACATGCCCGTTGCCCGTTCTAGCCCTTTGCTGGCAAGGAACGGAGCTGGAGGCTGTTCAGTGAAGTCCTCCCTTTATATCTCTGGAGTCTGCTGCAGCAGACAGACTCTCCTTGGCCATGTGCTGCTGTTTGGGGATGGGGAGCATAATCGTCTCTCTGGGGCTGAGCCACAGATGGTTGAGACTCCATATTAGCCCTGGAAACCCGTCTGCTTTTCTGAAATTGCGGGCTTAATTATAAGGCGGAAGCAAACATCAGATGCCGGAGTCATGCTTTTTTAGGTTCGCTACAAAGCAGCAAAATGCCTGGTTTTGCAATAGACCTGTGCTTATCGAAGCAGGCGTTCGGTTAGTCAGCTATTGAAGGGTCCTTATGTGTGCAGGGTGTTCAAATGCAGAGGGTTTCTGTATTATACACTGAGAGACTCCTTGCCGCCCCCCATAGAGAGTCCCTGTCACACTGAGTTTTAGATGATTTGCCCTTCCCGTGCAGGAGAGGGTAAGGCATTGCACCAGAAACTCTGAATGGGAAACGGACTTGTGTATTCAAAATTGATGTTCCAGTATGATTTTATCTGTAGTTAGGGCTGTGACCTGTGAAATAAAAAATTTCAGCCCTGCAAATTCTCAGAAGCCAGGATCTTAAAATAACCAAGCTGCAGTATTTGCAAATGCTCAATCCGAAACCAAGTTCTAATTGAGTTTGGGGGCATTTTCCACATGTCATAGCACTGTTGACATGACTGTACTTTAGGGAGGGGAACTGGCTGTACACAGACACAGTGTCCAGTACTATGAGAAGGTTGTTTGACTTATGAAGGGCATTCCATCAATGCATGAGGCCTGTCAGAAATATATGAGTGTTAGGGATGTAGTAAGGTGTCTCATTGTATATGTCTCAGTGCATAATAGAGCACCGCTTAAAAACAGTGATGGTTATCTCCCCCCCCCCCCCCCCGCGGGGGGGGATGTGAGAAGGCTCAGCCCACACCCAGCAAGTCCCAGGAGAGCCTGGGGGTGGTGGTAGGTAAAAACCAGAAGTGACATCATTAGCCACTCTAGGATTCACAAAAATCCTTAAACCATAGAGTTTTTGTAAATTCCAGAGGGTCCATGACGTCACTTCTGGTTTTTGCTGGAAATGACATTGTCATGCTTGGTGCATGCTCCATTCCCTCTCCCCATTTCTTTCCACCAGTGCCTCAGGTGCCGGTGGGCAAAGGGGTGGTATGCCAGGGCATTCTTATGCTGTGGGGTAAACTCTGTTTCTCCATGCCCTTGCTCCTGAAACACCGCATGCACTTCTTGTCAAAAAGTGATACTGATATCTTCTTCCTCCTTGCATCTCGGTCCTGTGTTTCTAGTGGGCTCAGTTTGTGTGTGTGTGTGTGTGTTTAAAAGATTCAAGAATTTTTGCAGTTCTGTGTACTTGAAAAATTTGTCCAGCAACTTAGATTATTAAATACTTTTTTTTAAGTTTGAAAAACTATTCCAGGTAGGATGTGAGTTCATGGTGATCCAAGCGCTGGCCAGTCAGTGCTATGCACAATGCGTTTCTGCTGGAAACTAGCTGAACTGTCTTCTCTTGGCTTCATCCTGTCCGCATGGTTGTACGTCTGGCCAGAATGGAGTGAGTGCCATTCCACGGTGGCTTTATTATTATTTTGAAGTTATTTATTATTTTGAACGTCATAGCAGAATTTTTAAAAACCCTTCTCCAGTGGTAACCTAGGCTGGAAGGAGAGAGGGCAGAGGCATTCTCCCTGCTGCATTCATCCAATGTTTGCCATTAGTAAACACCCCCCCCCCCCATGCAAATACATAGGGAGCTCCAGGTCAACACTGTTCTTAGGTGCATGGGGCTTTGTGGGAAATGCACTTGAAATGGCTGTTTGTGTTGATTCCCTGCCTGCCCCAAGCCAGTCACATCCAGGTGCCACCAGGCTTCGAGCTTTCCGATTCCCCACAGGAAGGAACCTGAATGGCAAACGGCCATGGCCAGTGTTCCCTCTAAGCTGAGTTAGTGTGAGCTTGCTCGCAGTTTTTTAGCCCCCGGCTCGCACATTTTGGTCTCTGCTCAGGACGGGATGGCTCCAGAGCAAACTAATCTACGCAGCGGCCAAACCGCCCACTCACAACTTCAATGCCAGAAGCTCACAAGGTAGAATTTTTGCTCGCGAGACTCCACAGCTTAGAGGCAGCCTTGGCCATGACCCTCTCTGCTGTGCGTTATGGGCATCTTGACATTGCAGTAACTCCAGCCTGATGGCCGCCACGGCTTAGATGACACCAACTGACGGTGACTCCCCTAAAGCCACCTGAATGGTTGAAATGAGATTTGATCTTTGCGATCCCTGCCTTGTGGCCAGGGATGCTAACCTCCAGGGGGTGCCCGGAGGAAACGGCTGCTTTGGAGGGGCGAGCTCTGTGGCATCACATCCCCGCTGAGTAGGGTTTCCAGGTCTGGGTTGAGAAATCCATGGAGATTTTTTTTTGGGGGGGTGTGAAGCTTGGGGAGGGTGGAATTTGGGGAGGGGAGGGACCTCAGCAGGGGATAATGCCATACAGTCCACCTTCCAAAGCAGCCATTTTCTCCCTGACCTGGACAGGTGGCCCAATCTCGTCAGATCTCAGAAGCCGAGCAGGGCCGACCCTGGCAAGTACTTGGGAGACCTCCAAGGAATACCGGGTCTGGGACGCAGAGGCAGGCAATAGCAAGCCACCTCTATGAAACAGTTGAGCCCCACTAGGGGTCACCGGACGTCAACCATGACTTCCAGGCGCGCGTGCACACACACACAGAGAAGCCTCACCAAAGTAGCCATTTTCTCCAGGGGACCTGGTCTGTGTTGTCTCAAGACCAGTTGTAATTCTGGGAGATCTCTGGCCACTACCTTGAGGTTGGCAACCATACTGCTGAGGCCCTTTCCCTCCCCCCCCCACCCCGCCCCCCCCCACCCCCCCCCCCCATCTTCAGGGGTTTCCCCATTGACAGCCCTCCTTGTGGCTCCCG